CTTCTTCTTCTTCTTCTTCTTCTTCTTCTTCTTCTTCTTCTTCTTCTTCTTCTTGTCTTTGAGCATCTGTCAGACAAAGGCTTTGATTGCAATTAATTAGTGGGTTCAAAGGCTATATACATCCACTCTTCAGGGAAAACTCACGGAGAGAAAAGCCAGAAGACCCCTCCTGTAGAGTTCAAGAAAAAGATATCAAAAGATCAAAAGTTCAAAGTCCAAGATATGAGAAGATCCAGTTGAGTAAATTCAATCAAATTCCGTTTCTTGATTTCTTTGGACCCTGCCCTACCCAGCCCGGCACGACCCGGGAAAGCAGGGAACCCAGCGTCCTCCTCGGCCGTCTCGTGTGCAGAGGTCTCATCCTGCTGAGAGAGGCGTTCCACGAGCTTCAAAAGCCCAGAGATGGTGTGCTGCTTGGACTTCAGCTCACTCCTCGAAGCAGCTAGCGACCCAGACTGCCAGACTCCGGGTTTCGTATCTCTCACACGCCACCACTCCCACCCACCATACCCTTCCCTCTCCCGTCTCTCAGGCCGCCGCTGGAGGCGTTTGTTCTTCCTTCGCAGGATCGCCACCTCGCGGAACTGCAGGTGCTCGTCGCTCTCTCGGGACGTGGATTCCGTCTTGATGGACTTGCTGTCCTTGAGGAGCTCCTGAGCACGGCTGGGGCCACGCGGCACCCACGCGGTGTCGCTGGGACCGGGGTGGTCGGAGGCTCTGCGGATCTGTGGGCCCGTTTCAACTCTGGAGATGCGGTAAGACTACCACAGACATGCATGCTTGGGCTGCTGCCCATCCTGGGCTCACGTCCTTGACGACCAACCAATGTGGCACTTTACATGTGTGGCTGTGTAGGCTGTGTAGGTGGCCAGGTGATCCAAACCCAAAGTGTGGACCCCATGTCCTAAAGATGAAATCATCCGCCAAGACTCCGCAATCGTCGCATCTTTCCGTTTAATCATCCTTGGATTTGCTGGCGGGGCAATCGGCTCTGATATGGGGTATATATGTGTAGATGTGCCCTGTGCCCCCCCCAACCACCCCAAAAAATATACCGCAGACATCGTCACCAAGCAGAGCGTTTCCAGCGGGAGAAAATCCAACAACAATGAGGAAGAGCTTATTCAGGAAGAAACGACCCATTCCTCACATCAAGGAAATATCCTACAGAAAACTGAAACTGAGCTTCCTCCTGCTCCAAAAAATCTCCCCAAACCGGGGAAAAAGACACTTCAATCTTGCAACTCACCCGGAACACGGCACCTCCAGAACGTGAACTTGCCTATCCTCACAGTCAACGTGAAAGCGCTGGAACCACAGACAAACAGACTGACAGACTGACTGAGCGAGTGAGAGAGAGAGAGGGAGAGATTTTATATATATATATATACATTTACAGTATACATACAAATATATTGCCTCTTCCGAAGCCCCAGATATTTTTGATTTGGTGCCTGAATCCGACAGAGCCCACTTTGTGTTTGGAACTGGACGGGACGGCTCCTGCAGCCTTGTGCAAAAGCTGCCAGAACCGACCTTGAACCGCCCCACTTGCTTCCCAACCAGGGCGGTTGGGGTTGCGCCAGCGGCCTCCCCTGCGGGATTCGGATGCTGATCCACCTTCATCGGATCAGCTCCGGCCGAAAGGGTGGTCATGTCATACCTTTTCTCTCCAAGGTTGTCATGAGATTGAAGAGCCCAAGACTCTCTTTGAGCATCAGGTTCTCTTGCTGCAAGCGTTCACAGAGCTCTTCCTGCGCCTTTGCAGCCCGGGAGGATGCCTTCTCTTCCGGCCTGGACTCTGTCCGCGACTCCTGCAGGGGTTCCGTGTCTTGGAGAGATGTGGGCAACCCTGTAATGGTGTATGTCCATCTTGGTGGGGCTTTTTGACTTTGGAATCACCCAGAATGTTGGGTGAAATCTTAAAAAGTCTCTCAAGCCACGCGGCTACCTGTAGTTCAGCCAACTTATACCCTGGGCTTCCGGAAATGAGATGAAGTGAGCATTGAAGAATCATGGGGGATGAATCAACATAAGGAAGCTGCCTAATCAAAATGCCCCTTGTGCCTGGCCAAGCTGGCCGATGTTAAATCCCCCCTTTTCCACCGGAGCTCCCCCTTTTCCGCATCCTCTCCTTGGCCGGCGAGGCCATCTCGGACTCATCGCCCATGAGGAACCGGAGCCCTTGGTGCCAAGAGTCCAAGTCCTCGGCTTCGTCCGTGGTTTCGCTGGCTCGACCCATGGCCCAACGGTTGGTGGTAGTGTTGGCTTCAGAGTTCTTGAAGGCACCCAGTACCAGCACCCTCCGGTCTCCGAAATGGAGGGTTCTTCAGCTCTCAGGGGGATCAATTGGTGACCTGTTGGCCGTCGGGTGCTGGTCGAAATATCCACTCCTTCGCTTCTCGCTGTCCCAGAAGGTGCCGAAAGCCGACCCGCCGACCCAGGAGCGAAGGTCCCTCGGAGCGTTTGGTCTCCTGTCCGCCTTAGTGCCCTCCTCTCGTCAGTGTGGAATCGATTCCGGGGAGACCGCACGGCTCTTCAGCAGGTGGTGGAAGTGTTCATCCTCAATCACCACAGGTCAATCAATCACTATATGGAGGTCAATCACCACATCACCAGGTGCCAAGTATCCTCTTTGGAAGTGCAAATCAGTTCAAAGGCCTGTGGCACATTGGGCACGGCCTCCCGCAAGCGCACCTGGAGGGCGAAGTGCCCCTCGCCACCTGCGAAACGCAAAGTTGGCGCAGGAGGGCAGGGACAGGTGGAGGTTGGAGGTTGAACACTTGCCCTCCGCCTTCCTCTCACCAGTTCTTGGGCCATGAAAACACAACAAAGAAAACATGAGTGGCTTTAGCTCCTTAAGTCCAAATGCTCTTGCTTTCGGTGCTTCTCACCAAATGCCTCAACAGGTCTCATCGGGTACCCAGCTCCAACCAAATCTGCCCCTCACGAAGACACCATACCCCTATTATATTCACACACACACACATATATCATATATATATATATACATACCAGGACCTTGCAACAGGTCTCCTCAGGCTTTTGCAGACTTAAAAGTCGCAGGTAGTGACCTGTTACTGCGGGAGGGTCCTGGTATACTGGTATACTAATATAGCTTGCTAACCCCAAACAACAACTGCCCCTAGACCCCCCTCCAACCCACTGCCCCAGCTCGCTCCTCCATTGCGAGGAACGCTGGTTTCCTGAACCGAGCCAATGGCACTCAAGGGTAGCCGTCGGGAGGGGCCGTTGCCCTCGCACTCGCGCCACGTCAAGGTCTGCAAATCCTGGGACACTTGGAAAGCACCTCGGACCGTCGCACAGAGCGTCACCGAGACGCCGCGAGCGTCACACGGAGGTGCGGAGCGGCGAGCGGAGCGCTTCGGAGTTCCGCCGGCGACGCGTTTGGACGCTGAGACACCATGACACACTGGACTCACACGGTCAAGGAGCCTCTACAGTACCTTGATATCTTATTGTAGATGTAGTTCATTGTATTGACCACCACCGAAAAGAGGTCGGGGTGTCGAACAGCTTCCGCTGCACTCCCACTCCACGGCACAGATCTGCAGATCCTCTTGTCCGCCCAGGATGTTCAAGAGCAGGGGTGTGCCTGAGCACGGATGACCCATCATGCCATCGGCAAATTTTACGGATTCTTTTGCATATGCATCTTTGCAACTATGCACAAGCCCCCCCCAAACTCCTCTACATTATGTTGTGTCTCTCCTGTTGTTTTGGGCTTCTGCCTTCGAAAATGGCACACCGCTATTGGAACCTCGCAAGTCCATCAGCTACTGGTTCACGTTTCCCTATAATAGAAACCTCATGTTGCCCCAGTTTCCCGGCCCACCTTGAGGTCCCAGAACGACCATTCCCCTCTGCCTTGCTGCAACTTCCGCACGTGCTTCCTCAAGGCCAAGAACTCCTCATAGTCTGCATCGCGGCTCATGGCGACCACGGAACCCGTGGGCGCCGGTCCGGCCACCGCGCCGGTACGCCGGAGCCGCGCCGGTCGCTGCAAAGCCGAGCCGCGAGGCTCACCGCGAGGCGCGTTCGAGGAGAGCCCAGGTCGTTCCCCCAAGAGGATTTCCTGAGACCCTCCCAGGAAAGGACAAAACATCGCTTGTTCATGTTGGTTTGTTTTTTTCATGTGCCTCTTTTGAAGAGTTGGCACGTTGGTGACGGGAGGCTGGCAGCGATCCACTTACCGCCCTTTGGAGGTGCTTTGGGTTGGTGACTGGGACGTCCTTACCTTTTCAGAGGTTGTTGGGTCTAGGTCCATGGAACTCAGTCCAGCTCGCAGCCAGGATTCCTTGGTGAGACGGCAAGACCTGCAAGAAAACGGACGTGCTTCCTAGTCACAAACCCCCCCAAAAAAGACTGGAGATTGGGACACCATCAATACGCTTATGATGGTAACAGCGAAGATGGGAGAATGAAGGGGCAAAAGGCGACCGAAGTGATCCCATCGGCTGTATCGTGAGGGCTCTTTCCATGGCCGCCGTGTCTGACTGGGCCCCTTCTTGGATCTGGGGCGGGTGGAGAGGATTGGAGGTGAGAGTGACTGGCATGAACGATAACCCCAAAAACACGAAGGAAATAAAGGGGAACGAGCCACAAATCAAGGGTTAACCGATGGGGCACAGTGGCTCGCCTAGGATTCCTTGGGCCCCTTCTTGGATCTGGGGCCCCCTTACACATCCAAGCCTTTCAATCTCTTACAAAAATGAAAGGCTTGTTAGAAGACGGAATGCATTGTACGATGTTCAATGAAAATAAAGATAAATGAAAATAAATGAAAATCGTATAATGAGAGGAAAGACTGGCATTAATTTGGACACCCCCTGGCAACCGGGCCTTCTCCATCTTTCAGCCGGACACCCACCCAGACCCACCGTGATTATCTACCAAGACCTCCCCCCCAACCCCCCCACCGAGGGCACCACGTCTCCTCATGACCTGACCGCCAGTTTCAGCCGGCGCAGTTGGCTTGCGCGGTTGGCGCCGAAGCTCCAAAGCGTTTTCTACACAGACGGGGGGAGGGAGTGGTTTGGAGAAGGGTTCTAGAAAGCAGGTTTGCAAAGAGAATTGCGATTCAATTCTGGCAGTGACAGGATGAGGACGAACGTGTCGCGAAGAACTTCAGTCCAGCAAGTGATCGAAAGGCACTTATAGGCCTTACAAACAGCATATATATCCACTGGAGAGCTGCTGGCTGCATTGCATCAACGTCTGAGGTATATACACTGGCCAGATGAAAGTTGCGCTTGTTGATGTTGAAACTCATGACAACCCTACCCCCGTAGAATCATACACCATGAGACAAGGGAAGGGTCATTTGTCACCCGGGAAAGCCTATTATTATTATTACTATTATATATATATAGATTCAAAAGGGTGTGATAATTGACCGTCCCACACCTGCCACGAAAGTTAGACTTGCTAATCGATCCGCCGCTGACCTCAGAGTGTTTTGTAAGAAGGCTAACAAGAGTAAACTTTTGTCTGCCTGAAGTATGTAGAAAAAGGGCAAGGGTGGCGTGATGAGCACGATTTGTAGGGGTTGAACAACACACTCGGCGTGCTTTAGTTGCTATGGTTGTTGTCTTAGGTTGCAGTAGCTACTTCAATCTTCAAAACGAATCTGCAAGCAGGGGGCCTTCTTTGCACCAGCTGAAATCTCGAGTGTCAAGCTTTAATTCAGGAGTTGCATGAAACGAAAGTCAGCTGGAAAATCAAAGGAGCCGACTCCGGACAATTCCAAGTCAATGCCTGCCAACATATCCCCGTGTTTCCCCTTTCAGCCTATCCTTGGTGCATGAAGTTCACTAGATGGGGGTTCGCTTGGTTCAAAGAGGATTCCGTGAATTTAGGTCTCACATCACACATCCGTTCAATCCGGGACCTGCAGAAAAGACCTCTTCTCTCCCCCAACGTCGAAATCAGATTGGAGCGCACCCAGCTGTCCATTGGCGCCATTGCCGCAGGTGAGAAGCCGGGATTTCACAATAATCGGCCTGACATGGCCCGAAAAATCAGTGCGTTTCACCGCCGAACGAAGCTCATGTGCCACCGCCGAGGCGCCCCGAGGGCGAGGATCCACCCAGGAAAACTACTACACTCAGACTCACCTTAAAGGAAGAGACAGTCAGAGTGCAACTGCTGGAGCATGTTTGTTCGCCTACACCCTGGAATGTGAAAAAAGAAGAAGTTGTTCACCGTTGGCAAGGTGCTGGGATGGTAGATCCACACCTATCCCAAACCCCAAAAAAGACACTGCTACAGCGACCGCCACAGCGACAGCCACAGCCACCCATGTCATACAGCTTCACCACCCGGTTCCACTGGGCCAGTCTCACTGCTCGGCGTTGGCCGCAGACACGGGCCTCAGCTTGACCAGCTCATCCCCCAAGCCCGGTCGCCGAAAGAAATCCCGTAGACAGGTCCGACCCGGTCAAAGCTGGTCCTTCGCCTCGAGTAGCGTTCTTGTATGACCAACTCCAGTCCAACGGCGGGAATTGATGTGGTCGCCGTGCATAGGGTCCCATAGACCAACCGAAGCACCTCTGCCCGCTCGCCACGTTCGGCTTGGTGTCCGATGAGTGGGGGAGATCATGCGTTTCTTGCCTGGTGGGAAGCAACGAACGGCGAGTCTCATGCAGTGGTTTGGTTCCAAAACCAACTCTTCAACTCTCCAAGTGGCCTGGTCTTTCCATATCTTTTCGTCTTTCCATAGTGTTTGCGGCGACCCACCACAACCCCCAAGCGAATTCCCCCCACCACCTCTTTGAGCCTCCCGTCTCCAACACCTCTAAAATCGCCGAGTGGTTGCTGCCGCAAGCCACCTCCACGACTTGCCTGGACCTCGGTTGTGCTCTTCACTATGGCCGGAAAACTATGGCCGAAGAAACTCTAAAAGTTGCTCAAACAAAAGCCTTGACCCTGACTCGAACCCCATTCTCCTGCAAAGGAAGTTCCTCCCCCACGGGCTCCACACGCTTGCGTCTTTCGTTTGCCCACCTCTCCTTCCTCAAACCTGAGCGCGGTGATGAGCACCACAGCACGTGGTCCTTGAGGTGGACCCCAAGTGTCTAAAGAAGCTGGACCATCTGAGGAGGGCTCTCCGGTGTTCAATTCTTGAGGAAATCTCCCTAGCAAATCTGAGGTAACAAAGGCACTGCTTTTTGCCACGTACTACGCCTGAGACTTGGGACTTGCTCCTATCTCATAAGAACTTCTAGCCTCCGAAGCAGCCTAACCAGTGAACAGGGGCGGTTGCAAGACATGCCAACAGCCTCTGTCAGTGCGACTCGAGAAGTCGACAGTTCACCCGCTGGACGAGGTCACCCGTCACGAGTCCAACAGGGCCACGGACACCCGAGTGGTGAGCTCGAAAATCCCATTGGCCTCGCAAGACGGTTGGGACGGTTGGCACCCGCACCAGGTGGGTACGATTCGCAGCTGTTTGAAGATCTTCCATTGAAACGCATCCGTTGGACTCCTATACCAGGACCCGACTCGTTCGGGGTGTCTATTTATAGACCCTTAGCTGTGATTCGGGGTGTCCATTAACCACTCAACCACCCCGACTGGGGGTCCTGGTATAGCCTTTTCCATTTGTATGAAGAATATTGAAGAATGCCTTGAGATTCGGTGAAAACTCTGCGCGGCGTCCGTTCTCGTCCTCCCGTGGCCACGTCCACGTCGTTCCGCTCTCCATGCCTTCTCTGAGCTGTCCTGCTTGTCGCCTCGCCTAGGTTGTCGGGCTTTTCCAGGTCCCCCAAGGAACCTCCAACAGAACCCTCCCCCCCTCCGAAGAGAATGAAGAGCCTCTCCTCCCTTAAGAGGAGCCTTGGCCATTGAGAGACAGGTCTTCTTCAAAAATAGGAATTCTTTTTCAAGAAGTATATGAGATTATCTGAGTTAGTTTAGTGTTAGACTATGACTATGACCTTGTGCTTCTCGACATGGATCGATGGGAGATCTGAAGAGCTCCCACATGCTGAAGTTCTTCCATGACCAGTTGCTGAGATGTAGTGGAGCAGTGATTGCCCGAATGCTCACCATTCACTGGATGGGGAGGGGGAATGAACACTCTGCAGCAGAGTGTTCCGGAAATTGGGACGACCGGACCGTGAAGTGGACGTGAACCCAGGATCCGACGCTCTCTCACCCCAAGCTGTCCAAAATCTCTGCTTCACCTCATGGTTTGTAGCTGCAGACCTCATGGGCCTCATGGGGCGCCCCACACAAAACAAAGAAAAGTCCTGTAGAGCCCCCACCCGGTGCCAAGAACATCTGTCCACCTGCCAGCCTTCCAAAGCCCCACCTTCCCAACTTCCCCAAGGCCCGGGCCGTAGGCCCAAGGGGTTGTGCCGGTTGTTTCCCCAGCCTGGGGCGCGGTGGCGGTGGCCATTCAAACCCAAAACCCGCTGGTAGGGAGCGCAAGCCACGCAGAGCAAGAGGTCATGAGTTTTGGAGTGCCCTCGAACTCTGTGGACAGATTCGGGCGCAAGCCTGCGTTTGGGGCAAGCGTACTACGCCAAGCACACCCTTGCTTTGATCTTCTTCCTTGTCTACCAACACATGGGTTTCAGTCCCTTTGGTACCACCAGTCGCATGTCTGCCCTAGCTCTACCACTCATCTGCCCAAATTCTCCAGGAGCCACACCAAGGACTTGAGTTCTTTCCTCAGCGTCCTGGTCCCCTTCGGCCCTCAGCAGGAGAAGGCTGTGCCTTGGACAAACGCACGGAGGGGGACTCAGATGGAGTCAAAACCTGGATGGATGACCTGGATTAAGGGCGACAGGGGCAAAGAACACTTGTTACCACCAGGAGTCACAAAGGGGTGCCTATTGGAGGATAGGGGTTGCCCATTATCCACTCACTTAGGGACTAAAAACCACCCCTTTGTGACCCCTGGTAGATGTTCCGATGTTCCTGTATCCCACCTCCATGATGAGTTGGAGTTGACCAGCCTAGCCATTCGCAGTGTTCACTTCCAACTATCAGACCCTGCGGAACAAACTGCTGCCACAAGCTCTCTTTCGTGGATGTCGCTGCGGTGAACCCGTTCAAATTGGAACAACTGGCAATCGCTCCCAAAAGAACCTGCCAGCACCCCGTGGCAAGTGAACCACGGAGGCTGAGTGTTCAACCTGCGATTGCCGACCCCTAGATTGGTCGACGTCAAGATTGTGGACATCTCATGCACCCAAGAGTGCTCGCTTGGCAGGATGCACGAGTCCACGATTCTCCTCCAAAGCCTTGAGCATGGCGCTTTGACTCTTCCCACTGGCCTTGATATCCTCGCGGTTGGCCAACTTCTTCAGCGCCTCGGTCATCCCAGCCTTCTCGGCCTTCGCCAGGACCGTCGCCTGCAGCTCCACCGAGTCGGTGGCGACACCCTTGGCGCCCTTGGCGCCGGCCTTCGGCTGGGTAGGGCGGCCTGCCCTGGCCTGCTTCGGGGCAGCGTCCGCCTTCTTCGCCTTGGCGGCCCCCTTCTCTGCCGCCTTGGACTGCTTGGCTGCCTCCTTCTCCTCCTTCGACAAGCGCTGCTTCTTCGCCGGCGGCTCCTCGTCCTCGCGCGGCACGGGCACGTAGGACTTCATGGCTTCGTCATAGGCCTCCTTCTTGGCCTTGTATTCATCCTCGAAGACCTTCTTGTCATCAGCACTCAGCGCGCTCCACTTGGCAGAGGCCAACTTGGTCACCGCGGTGATCGGTTGACCGGCGGTCTCCTTCTGGAAAGCTGCGCGATTCTTGGCCAGGAAGCAACCATAGGCACCTCCGGCAGGGCGCTTCGGGGCATCTGGGTCCTTCTTCTTCTTGCCATCCTTCTTGCTGCCCTTGGTTTTGCGCTGCTTCCTCTCACCTCCAGCTTCCTCGAATGCCTTCAGGTCCGCATCATACTTGGCCTTGGCAGCCACATACTTCTCCTGATAGACGGCTCGCTCCTCTTCGGTCAAAGCCTTAAACTTGGCCGAGGCCAACTTGGTGATCTCCGTCACAGGCTTTCCTTGCAACTCCTTCTGCAGCTCAGAGCGTTTCTCAGCCAAGAACTGCCCGAAAGCGCCACCTGCAACCTTCTTGGGCTCGACCAAAGCCATTGATGCAAAAGGCACGGGGAAAATGGGGAGATGGAGAGTTGAAGGCTCGGAGGTTGTGGCTCGAGCCAGTAAGGACCCGTGCGCCGTGCACCCAGGAGAAACTAAAAACTTGCAAACACAATCATCAAGCGTGCCTGTTAGGATCACCCTCCCAACCTTACCACCTGCTGCTCAACTCCTGTCAAGCGCAGCTAAGCTTGAATCCTGGTGCACTGCCGCTGGGGTGCTGCTAATGCTGCTGGGCCCCCCCGACGCACTTCCGCACGCCACCTTTCGGGGTTCGGCCTGGTGCCACGGCGCCAGCTGCTTGGGCTGAGTTGAAAGGATTAGGTGAGGGGTGAAGCTCTTTGTTCAAATCCATCAGTGATTTTAACAAAGATTCTTGTTTAAAGTGTATATATATATATATACATGCGTCCACGTGGTAGACGCAAGGTACTTGGGGTAGGTCACATTTTGTGATTGGACTCAGATTGACCATACCCCGAAGGACATTGCTAATTAACATAGAAGACCTCGAATGCGAGCCGTGGCCGTGCTTGTTAGCACACGGGTCGTGAACACCGGTGCTTGTCCTAGGGGTGGGATCCATCTGAGGAAGTGATAGCGATGCGTCCACGCCCCAAGACTATCAAGCACTGCGCAAGGGCTTCTTTTTGACGATGCGATGCGCAAAGCGAAGTTGGATGGTCTATGTACAATCTGGGACCGGAGCCTCAGTAAACAAGTCAGGCATGGCACTAGGGCAGCAAGTGCCTGGCGAATGCCGACAGTTGACTCCCAAACCTTCCCCTGGAGGTCTGCGAAACATGGGTGGGGACATGGGTGAGGTTACGTAATCACTTCCCTACAGGTCAAAGATAATTATATGGTCATACCTGGTCATACAAAAACACTCTCACTGCTCAACGAGGTTTTCAGGACCAGGTTTTAGTAGGTCTTTGGACCTGCAGGGAACTACCTCGACATTTGCATCCAAAAAACCGCCCCCATCCACTTCCGCCGTTCGCCCCCGGCCTCAGGAAGTGTTGAGCCTTCTCATCCACCTCTTCTGGCAAGGCCACGCTGGGTGGCAGGTGCTCGGCAGCGGCGAAGCGACTCAAAGGGCCCTCCGGCAAGGTGTTTTCGTCAGGGTGTCGCGGAGCGGAGCGGTCGCGTCCAAGGGGGTCCAAGGCTGAAAACACCCCAAGTACTAAAAAGGCTCCAAAAAGCCTGGGACCAATGGACCCACATGGGGTGGTTAATGGACACCCCTTAACATCTAAGGGGCTATCAATAGAAGCCCCTTAGGGGGCAAGTTCCAAGGTGTTGCGCTGTTTCTTCACCTTCCCCATGATCTTCGCCATGCCGCCCACCTTCGACGCAGCGAGTCCACCTGCCCACGCCGGCAAACTCCGCATCCCCGCCTCGCGTAGCTTGGCCCAGGCCTCCTCAGCAGCGCCGGCGCGGAACTCCAAGCAGCTGGTTTTCCAGCGCAGGCGCCCCGGTCCAAAACGTCCAGGTGGAGTGCTCTGTGCGCAGACGTGGCCACGCGGGAGGGGCGCAGGGCACTCAGACCTCAGGCCGCCAAGCTCCACCCTGCGTGGAAGGTCGGCAGGTTTCTTCCTGCACATTCCTGCACCACCCCAAGAGTTGTTGAGAGACTCCCCTGACCATGCATTTTCCCTCCAATAACCGCCCTTTGAGCAGTGCTGGAATACGAGACCGCGGACGCCTGGCCTCCCGTGATTCCCTCTAGCCACTTGTTCTCCCGACTCCCAACCCAGGTGTTTTGGACAAAGAACGCCTCACGTCTCCGGTTTTGTCCAAGGATCTGGAAGGCTTCCAAGTAGACCCGAGCATCCCCCGCACGCTCGAAGGCCAGGGCTCTAACAGTGATGATGAGCGAGCTGCTCAAACCCAAGGCGTCCAAATCACTCTCCTTGGGATGACATCTGGATATATCCATGATGAAGGTGCACAAGATTCAACATTTCAACCTTCCCACGGGAGAGAATTCTGCACCAAAAATAAAGGAAAACCGATCCGATCACATCACCAGGTCTCCACTTCTTGGATCCGAACTTGGCAGGTCCCCACCCCTTCCACAGGCGCGTGCACGTGCATCCGTAGCATCCCCACCAGGCCGAAGGTGCTCGATTCTCGAGACGAGCCCTGCTCAGGGCGTCCCAGAAGTGGCAGGGAGACCTCACCAGCACCGCCGCGAGGATCCATCTGCAGAAGGCCCATGCAGTGCGTCACGCTCCGGGCGGTGCTGGCCTGCTCGCCCAAGAGCGCGGCGCGCAGCAGGGTGGGCGAGAGGCTGCGGAGCTCCAAGACCAAGACGCTCCAGGCCCAAGAGCAGCAACGATGAAGGACCACACGGCCCAGCTCCCAATAGAGACGCCCCAAGGCACGCAAGTACTGCTTCCAGTAATGGGCCCTGCTCTCCTGCCAGATTGAAGCATCAAGTTGAAGCATCAGAACCCCAATAGAGGAAATTGAAATCTGTATGTTCATTCCACCGGGTTGCTGGCAGACTTCATCCAAAAGGATCACTTGACCACTACACACCAACTTGCCTCCCCAAGGTTCGCAACCTCTCATCATTCGCCCCTTCGACGTCTCGACGTCTCTCCTTCTCTGGTGGCTGCAAGTAAGCGAACTCGGTGACGGTGTTCAACTCAGCACGTCCCCAATCGAAGACCTTCACAGCAACCTCAGGCAACTCGGTGAGAATCCTGATCGCCAGCGTCGTGCTCTGATTGAAATATGCCATTTCCCGGATGGTTGGGGTGCCCCTCAGTTGATGAGTGCAAGCCCCATATTTTGGTGGACCCGCCATTCCCAAGTCGGAAACATCATCATCATCATCATCATCATCATCATCCCAAGTGCAGGAACGCAAGAAAAAATAAACAAGTCTAAGTGGGAGAAACCGGGCACCCTCCCAACATGTCTTCACGTCAGTCTTTCCTGATCTTGGGCTCCCCACCTTGGGCTCCGCCTGGAGGGCGCCCATCTCCACGGCCAGCGCCACGGAAGAGCCAATCCACTGCTGTGGCACCTCCAAACCCAGCACGGCCTCGACGCCACGTGATGAAACGGGTTGACCCACCGGGGGGGAGAGGGCGACAAAAAGCAAATGCTGAACTATGGCCATCAGCCATCTTCTGCCTACTTCCCATGAGACCAAGAAGGTCACATGATCCCGCCTGCAGCAAGCTGCCCACGTCTTCAAAGGCTCGGAGCGCCGCGCGCTGCGCGTGCAACGCGCCGCCGGCGCCCAAATGCGAGACGTCCAGCCAGAACTCCAGGATCTCGGCGGCCCGGAGCCTGGCACGCGCGGGCAAGGTGCGCCACGAGCTCTGCCGGTCACGGTGACTTCAAGTGTGAATCGATTCAAGCATTAAGGTTCAAATCAATCAATCTGGACACTGGCCGAAGAAGAGTTTCTTCTAATTTCTGGGGGTGTTGGTTCTCCCGGCCAAGATGCTGCCCCTCAAACAAAGTATTCTTACCGGTCCTGGCTACATGCTACTTCCAAAATACTCGGACTTTTGGAGAAGTCACTCATCCAAATCCCATCAAAACCGTTGACTGATCACCCACACCACCCTACATCATCCTGCATCCCTTCCACTCAGTCCACAGAAACGTCCCGCCCTGAATGCCAGAGCGAGTCTGAGATGATGGACTTCACCATGGTGTCTGGTTCACTGGTCGCCTTTGAGACCAGGCCTCTAGGTCATCAGTACCTCGATTCCGCGAACAGACCTCCGTTCCGATTCCGTTCAGCTCTTCGGCCCCCGCCCCGCGGAAGCGACCCGCCGGACCTCTGCAGAGTGAAGCGCTTGATCACCTTCGGTGAGACGTACTTGGAGCTGGCCACTCCTTCCATCACCTGAAAAACGGGTGGCACCACTCGTTAGAGAAACACACGCCATGGACGGTGTCTTTTCGTTCTGTGTGATTTTGGCGTGACCGAAGGACGGCTGCAAAAAAGCTTTGGAAAGCATCTGGCCACAAGGAAGGGGCGGCTGAATCGGTTGGGGAGTGAACATCTCCTTTCAAGACCCCATGAGTCACGACCAGGAGCCACGGACCAAGAGGTCAAAGACTTCACACGTGAAGTAAGCGTGCTAAGAAAGTGGCTCGATGAATGCGAATGCATGCAAGTAGACTTATCATGTGCTGAATGAAGCTTATTTTGAAGCTTACCTCCACATCAACCAGAGACTTCCCCTCTCGCGACCCGACCGAGTCCCACCTGCCGCATCCGCTCCTCCAAGCCCTCCGGGGGGCCCTCAATGCCCTCCAAACGGAAGCCCTCACAGGCGCTGTTCGTTCGTTGGTCCACCAAGGAGTTCTTCCACGCGTTCAGCCGACTCTTGCCTAGGACCGAAGGAGTCAAGGGTTGCTTGGAGGCACGCGCCTTCGGAACCCGGCAGGACAGTAGCATCAGTTGGGGGCCACTAGTGGCCGCCAATGGGAAAGTGGTCCCACTAGTCATGGTAGTGAGTGGAGATTGGGCAGCCCTGCCTCCAGCACCCCTGGAAGGAGACGGTTGCAAGTAAAGTAAGGAGACACTAAATGTATTAAAAACAAAGGTATGAAATGCAATACATACCTATAAAATGATTTAAATTGTTCATTAGAAGTCACACCTTGTACAGCAAATGAATATGCTTGTTTAACATCCTTTATAGTATGTAGAAAAAACAGCTTATGCAAATCCATCAACTAATTCTTGTCTTTCAATAGATTAGCTCAAAGCAACGCTCGCTGGAACCTTCACCCCAAACGGATCCGTTCAGTGTCTCGAAACTTGGGGCCAAGCGACCTTTCCAGCAGGCCACGCTGGTTTCAGCACCCATTTTGAGGTCCAACAACCTCATCTGGCTGAAGCCCTGCCGTAGATTCTCCAGCAGCAGAATCGCCCGCCGGCTCCTCTCCTGGCCGGCAAGAAACCATGAACCACCACGGGAGCTGGTTCGGGCTTCACATCCAGTCGCCTGCGTCTTCGGGTTCACGCACTCCAGGCGCGCGACGCCCGGGCAGGACATGGCCCGCTGCCCAAAGCGACGCCAGGCGTCGCTCGTCTGCACCGCCCAGCGGAGCTTGGCATAGAACTCCACCTCATCACCTCGGCACTCAGGGCCACACTCCGCGCTCCACAAGTGGACACCCGCCGGCGACACTCCCGTAAAGGCGCCCGGGCCTGGGGGGGGAGAAGGCTCGTCAAAGCAAAGGGCGTTGTGGTTTGGTGGCTTTTTGGGGGCCAAGATCGATGAACGTCGACTTCAGGTGGCCCCACTAGATGTGCTCGGCGGGCGCTGCCTGAGAGCAGTCAACGCACATTGGTTTAAAACCCCAAATGGCCCAAATGATTGGAGCACCTTCTGCATTCCCATCTCCAAAGCTGGGAAAGCCACAGAAGGAAAGCTCGGCAAGCTCCGAAAAAGAAGGTCGGCCGGTCGGCCACGTCACCGTTCCGAAACTACGGGGAGAAAAAAAAGAAAACACTTCGCACGTTGGACCTTCTTTGGATACCGGGGTCCAACAAGGAAAAGAAGAAACCACGGGACACTTCGCACCTGACGCACCTCACTTCGCATGATCCAAGGCGCTCGCATGCGCTAAATCTTTTCCAATAAAGAAGTCCAAGGGCACGCCGTTCGGCGCGCGATCGGATCGGTAGCGAAGCCGATAAAAAGCAGCTGTGCCGCCTGGCGGGTTCAACTGATTAGGGTGGACCTACAAAGCACAAAGCGACCGAACCACAGAAGACTTCCATACTGAAAACACCTTCTGGTCGAAGCACCAACCATCCACAGTATGGGTTCCTTCTCCTATCGGGCCAAGGTGGTTCGGGAAAATTTAGAGATAACTGATGGGCACGGCAAGAGGTGCATGTCCCGGGCGACTTCGTATTCTATATGTGATATGACTTGACAATGAAACCCTGAAGTGTTCCAAGCGTAGGAACGAATCTGCCGTGGAGATGATTGCAGTAGTCCACCAACTTGAACTCCAACCTCCTTGCTGCATGCGGCTCTACGTTTTTCAATGGACCCTGTTCTTGAAGAGTCAGGCCAAGTCTAGGCCCTAGGCCTCCTCCGAAGATCCCACCACGTACCTACACACCATTCAAAATCTTTCAGTCATGATCACAATTCATGCATATTCCTGCAAACCCCTACCTGCCTCCTTCGTAAGGCCCACAAAAGGAAAACAAAACATGGGGTGCACAGCCTCTCTCTTACGACCTCTCTCCTGGGGGTTGACCCGAACGTCCAGGCCACCAACCCACAGAACTGTGCCTGAAGTGCCCAGTGCTTCACAAGGTTCTTCGAAGTCTTCAGCTGGTATGTCCTGACGGTGATGCGCCAACCCGGCGAGTTTGAGCGAACGCCATTCGTCCCCATTTGATGAGGATACTGTCTTCGACCGTGGCCACCAGGTTCAAAAACATTGCGACCAGCAGTTGGAAACCCATGTCAAGCTTGCAACCTGCAAAACCTCTTTTTCGCCCTTTTAGCTGCCACCGAACTCCAGTCTGCCAGAAGCTGCTGTCTGCCTGTCCTCCAGCCCCTGCAGCTCAGCCGTTGGGCTGCTGCCTCGGGAAGACGCACTGTCGATTTCTTCGCCTCAGCTGTCGACGGCTCAAACTAAAACACAAACCAACTCGCCATCGCCCAAAACCCTCGGCAAAAAATGATCTCAAAGAGATCCGATTTCTGACCACATTCAGTGGTGAAGATCCAGGCAAAGAAGCTATTAAAGTGGTGGGTGTGAATCGGTTCGTCACTCGTTTCTTAGCCCAAAGTGAACTGACAAACGCGTCAAGACCATAATTTTGACGAGGTTGTGATTTGATTTGTGAGGCGACCAATGCTGATGGATCATCATACCCCTCCATATTTGAAGTATACGCAAATGACACGCAGCAACACCTGGAAATGCCTCTCACACAAGACGCAAGCAACTACCCACATACCCCCCATGTGTGCCAAGCTGCCAATGAAATCCCAAATGCTCACTAGACCATTTGAGCTTACAATTTCGTCCATGCGGACTTAGATAGGGACAGTGCTAAAGAAACTGGGACGGCAAGCAGCGCTCTGCGCCATTGCCCCATGCAAAGGCACAAAGATTTTGTTCGGGTTTTCGACCTGATTTTCGAATCGTACACATTAAATTGTTCTGCCCTGCATGCTCGTCCAACTCGCCAATGAAACTAAATTGCCCTACACAAACTACGTCGCTCCTGCCCCTACACACTAAAAGTCCAAAAAAAATAATTGTTCATTGAAATGTTGCCCCGCTCCATTCCAAGGTTGTTGTACAGGGTCATCTTCTGTGTGATTTATGAACAACAAACTGCCGAAATGTCCACCTGCTGGAGGCTTCACCTGCAGCTTGGGCCGCTTAAGCACATTGGACGAGTCGGCGCTTCCAATCGGAGCCGGACGAGTCCACACCCACTGACACCATGATATTGAATGATGTCAAACCATCCACAAGAAAAGGAATAAGAAATCGGAGGGGGACCTTGCTAACTTTTTGAGAACCCAGCTTCACGCCACATTCCCAGGCCTCGGCCTCATGGCACTGTTCTTTTGGTCGCTTTTTTGGGGGCTTCGTCGGCCCAGGGCGGCCACGCCTGCTTGAGTCCGGCCACATCATGCAGCATCAACATCCTGGCTCCATGGGCCGGAAGCACACCGAGGTGAACAAAAATCCACGGTTTTTTTCGGTTGCCAAATCTTTTGTCCAACACAAAGATGAAGAAGAATAGACGGCGTGCCCGCATGCACGATCGTTTCCTACGCCCGTTGCCCTCCCATAACAAAATCATTGGCTGCCATTGGTTGCCATTGGTTGCACTGTATGCACCGTTTTGTGGCGGCGGCGCGGTGCTCATACACAGCCCTGGCAGTTCCCGAAGTCTGAAAGCCCAGCCTGTCAACGAGAAGAAACTTCAGCCATCCCCACAACCTCTCAACCTAGCAACCATGCCGCACCTATCCTAGCCCACATGGCTTGATCCCATCGGCATGGGCACAAGTTTGAGCATGATTTGTGTCAATTGTTTCAATTACCCCTGACCATGCTGAACGCAAAAAACCACATGTATAAGCCGGCAAACACGCCTTGAATCAACAAAGCCGCCCTCAAACTTGCAATTTAGACGGGACAAAGTGCCTGCGTGTTTCACGTTGCTAACGGTTTGGTTTTCTCTGCTTGGAATTATTCCCCCGTTTTGCGCATGACAGGTTCCTGCTCGATATTCCGACAACCCTTGTTGTTGTGCGCTGTCAATGTTTCGTGCGCCCTTGCTTCTGGTCCACCGTAGCCCTGCCGCGGGGGGAGGCGCGTGCAGGCCACGGGTCCCTGAGAAAATATCACGGCGAAAACTGAGAGACCGGCGGCCTGGTGAAACCCCATCCTGTTCCAGGAGATCGCTCACAAAGGGATGGTGGCTGGCCATGGTGTCACAAGTTTTCGTGTATGCGCATAGCATGGTGTTTGCTGCACTTGAAGGTGTACGGACTGGAACGGTTCTTGCGCATGTGAGAAGAATGAAATTGAAAGGAGTTGAACACGGGGCCGTCAGCGGAGCCTATGTGAAGATGCAGTTGAAGCTGGCTGGCAATAAACAGCATGGAATTTTGTGGGTGCTGGAGGTGTTTTGTCAAGGAAGGTGTGGAAAATTGTAAGTTAAAAAAGAAAACATTTTGGTAGAGATCTGGGAAGCTGTCGAACACTCGAAACCATTGAGCTGGATTTTTGACTTGGAGGCAAACATTCCTGGCAGTGGGAGCGGCGCCTCACTTGCGCACACAAGATTCGTTCAGCTGCGCACACAGCCTTGCATGATACATTTAACGCACCTGCGCACTCAGGGTTCGCTCAGCTGCGCACACATCGATTACATTCTTCTTTAAACAATGCATGTTTCCTCGCACACAGATTTCGCTCACCTGCGCACACACAAATGACTCAATGTTGGGTTGGGATAGGGGTGGGG